GCGCAAAAGTTTTTGTGCGTTGCTCTGCTTTTCGCTTTTTTTACTCTTCTTTTTTTATATTATTTTTTTTTTTTTGTGGCATCTTTATCTGCGGCAGCGGCGGCGGCGGCTGTCAAACGATACAAAATGTATCCGCTGGATATGAGCGGCATTCTCGACTAACAAGCTACTGTTCGCTGGGGCCGCCAAGCCTGGCCTTTTAGTTAATTAACATAGAAGTGGGCCCACGGCTCCTTCTGTTTCTTGTTGGCCCGCTTAATTACCAATCTTTATCAGCCTTTTCACCTCGTTCACCTCCTCTCTTCTTCTGTCTTCCCACTTTCAGAGGGCCATCTCATCAACACGAAATGCTCGCAGGGCCATTTTCGCAAGGCGCTTTGTTGCAAAATGTCCGCCGAACTGGATGTCTTCCTGGAGAGCGGCAAAAAGTGAGTAGAAATCATATTTTAGTAAATTTGTCATCTCAAATAAGGAAATATTTATCGATATATCGATAGTGACCATATTGATACCTCCTTTATGACCATAACTAATCGAGAATATATATATGTACATATCTTAACTTTGTAATTTCCACCTTGATTGGATATCCATACGTGTGTTCAGCTTCAATTTCATGCAGAATTATGGCGTTAGCTTGGGAGTTAAGAGGTCAGGTTGCACAGGTTGCATCTGCAACGGCAGCAACATCATCATCATCTCGACTGGAGCCCTAAAATGTTGTCATATTTACAGGGCTTAATGCTCCCTTGGATGCATTTCTGGTTAACAACTTGAGCGAGAGCAATGACTCCTTGTGGTTAGCCGATGCCACAGTTTGCTGCTGTAATAATAGACTTTAATGCTTTTAATAAGCGACCGCAGGAGAAGCCCATCATTCTATCCATGGGCAATACAAACACCCAGTTCTCGGTGCTTACTACTTTGGTTCTTGTGCTGCAGCTGCCATGCGTTCTAATTTGCGCAATTAAGACGCAGCAGCAACAGCAACAGCAGCAACAACAGCATCATCCACTCAAAACTTGTCCAGCGACCGCAGCCGTTGCAGAAAAAAGGAGCGGACCAGAAAAGACACTTCAACTAGCGCCCAAAGGAGCAGCCTAGAAATTCTTCTCCACTTTTATAGCTCTTTTTTGTTGTTGCCTTTGCTTATTTGTAATTACACCAAGCAGCAGCAGCAGCAGCAGCAACAGCAACTGGAACTGCAACAGCAACATCAAGCTGAAATCTAGAACAACTTGGACATGCTTGGACTTCAGATGATGAGGATGACGAGACGAGGTTGGTGCTGAGATGGCTGGCTTTCATCTTAAGTTGACTTGCCGTTTTGGCTTAGAACTTGAAACTGTCATTATACGAGCGCGGAGCATGCAATCAATAGCCACGGCAACAGGCAACAGGCACTACAACAAATTGTTGAAACAAAATAAATGGCCAGCAATGAAAATGTGCAGTTATGAGCAAGATGAGGCAGTTGTGGCTGCTGCTGATGCTGTTACTGCTGCTGCTGGTGGGTCTCCTACCAAGTAAAAAAAGGAAAAAAAAACTGAAACTAAAAGAGAGATATGAAATGGTATCAGGTGGCACAGGAAACTGCCCAGGCATCCTTCTGGCTGACTGGCAACGTTTAAGGCCCGGCAGGCAGTCGCAGCAACATCGAAATCCCTGGCCAAAGTAAAAACCAAGCGAAACATGAAAAAGAGGTTAATTAACGTGCATTCGAACTGGCAATTATGCCACGCTGCTTGCTGCTTTGTTGCTTTGCTGCCTTGCTGCCCCCATATGCCTTTTACAACCGAATGTTGCTGCTGCTGCTGTTGCTGTTGTCGCTGAAAACGACTCTTACGCACGGCAGCAACATGTTGCTCGCAATTGGTTTCGGCAACCGTGGGGCGTCCCGTTCCAAAAGTACCACTATTAAATGCAAATCCAGGCAGTTGTTTTAATTGCATTTTGGGTCTGTGTTGTAATGTCAATTTATTTGCCATAAAACTTGAATTATTTGCCCCACTGTGCGGCTGTGGCTGGGGGAACGCCTTTCGCTCGCCTTGAATGGCTAATTGCAGTTGCTGTTGCTTGTTGCTGCCGCTTTTGCTTGTTGCTTGTCGGTGTTGGGTATCCATTATAATACCAAACAATTAGTGCAATTTAATTAAAATTACAGCAGCAGCAACAATAGCAACTGCAAGTCATACAGAGAGAGAGAGATAGAGAGTTAGGCGATGACCTGCCCCGTCACTCAAGACTCCATTGGAACTCCCAAAAAAAAAAAAAAAAAAATCTAGAAAAATCAAGAAAAACCGACAGCAGCTATCATCAATTATATGAGCATATACGAGTAGAAATTCCAGGCCACGGAGGCGCCAAGGGTTCGATGTGCCCCACTGTGCGCGACATTTGCCTTTGGCTTAGGGCCCCCTTCCTCCCCCTCGAACTCACCGGTATTTTTATTAATTAGTTTTGTGTGTTTTTTCGACTCTAAATTCCATTCTCGAAGCTGCCTGGCCTAATCTCTTTCGATTTATTTGTTTCAAGTTATAATTTATCTTATGAGTGTGTTTGAGATTTTGATTTGATTTGGGTGTGTGTGCCTTTTTGTGCCACACCTAATGCTTGTGGCGAAACTTGTCAGGCAATTGTATAAACGGGCACTTATCTGATTGCAATCCGAGGTTGCCTTGCTTCTCGCATCTCGAATCGGATACAAGGGGCTACTCTCCACGACCGAGCACGTTTCGTAATCAACATTTTGACATAATAAGAGCGCCTTTTTTCCGTTTTTTCGTTTTTTTTGGGGGGAAATACCAAGACCCTGGGTGTAATTACAACACGTAATATGCGTAATATTCACAGCATAAAATGTAAATGGGGCAAGAAAGAAATGGTGCCGAAGGATGGGGCATCAATCAAAAGACCTTTGCTGATGATGTTGTTAATGCTGCATGTTACTTTAAGGTCTGTGGGTGCGTGGGAATTCGATTCGCCTGCTTTTCGATATGGATCATCAAGGGAAAATTTCCCAGGGCTCGATACGGTCTCCCCCCCTTTTCACCCTGCCACCACACCACCGACTTGGGGTTAATCCCCACATTGAGCCATAAAATAATAGAGTGACTCGCACTCGTGTTTATCCATCTATGGCTGCGACAGTTTTAATCGCGGTTTTGATGTTGCTAATGCACTTTCTTGCCGGGCTGGCAGAGGGTTGCCTAGCTATGTTGGAAAAACATACGTACATATGTGGAAAGCCAGATGCATGTTGGTTGCAATGTGTGAGAAAATTTTCCCTCTTTTTTGCGGCCAGAGGGGCAGCTATTTATAGAGAGAGTAAAGAGATGCGTGTGAAGCTGAACGGTTTTTCCTTTAGGGGAGTAAAAAAAAAAAAACTGAACCATGGCGACACTTCTTCTTCGTTTCCCCCACTTGCCGCTTAGAAACGCATCAATTTCATTTATTTGCCACTTGTGGCAGCACCACAACAATCCCAATTATTCAATTGATGCCCTGGTGAAAGGGAGAACGCAACATTTGTTGACATTGTCGCAGCATGTTTATGCTGAAATCTTTGTCGGAATTGTGGCAGCGGAAACAGGCAATTTCAATGCAATTGCAACTGCAACTGCATCAGTGAGTGCAGTATATATAATATATATGCATATTGGAGTTGGACTAGGAAATGCAATTGCTACTCCACACATCCGGGAAGTGGAATTGCCGTGCTTTGCTCTACATTTCAATTAGCGCCTCTCGCCGACAGAAACGCCACAGCCACAGCCACAGCCATCTCACACCCACAGAAATTCGCATAATCGCCGGCAATTGCCTTCAATTTGTGGGCTCAAGTGTGCGCATCCACAAGAGACAAAGACACAGAGATACAGATACACTGTCTCGGAATTAATGATTTGCTTTGTCAGCCTCGAACGATGCCAGTTTGACAAATGCCTTTCAATTGTCTTGTCCAGCCGCTTAAGAGAAATGCTTTTGTAGATGCGCAGGCGCACAGTTTGTGAGTCATTTTGGGTGCACAAGGAAAAATATATACTCAAAAATAATGCTTAAACTTAACTGATTCCGAGAAATATAATATCTTTTTTTTATAGTTAATCCCTGTTCTCAGGTTTCCTGATAAATGGAATGCTTTTGCTCAAAGAACGTTCTTAAATTTGTCTTTTTTTGTATTTCATTAAACTACTTTTTGATCTTAAATAGTACAAAAATAAATAATTAGCAATCTTAAAAGCAAGTATAAGCCTATAAGCCTTCTTTAGTTCCACATAAATATTAATTCCAATCCGGTTTTTCCCTGTGCCCTCCAAAGTAGAAAGCCACGAATCGACAAAACTGCATTCGAAGTGGGAAGATTAATTTCCCTTTTTCCATCTCTCGATGCAGCCTGTTAATGAGGCAAACATTTTGGTTGATTTAAGTGGTCGGCCTGCCGCTTAATGTAAATATCTTGTTGTTGTCTGCCCCCGCAGACATACATAAATGACACATTGATTTGTATCAATCCGCGAAACAGGAGACCCGTAAGATACTTTCTGCTGCTCAGGGCAGCTGACAGCTGACTTATTGCTAATTGCAGGCAAGCCAGGCTTTTGGCCTGTCTCAAAAAGGAGAGAAGTTGAGGAAAAAACAAAAAAAACTGAGTGAAAAAACCGAATGAAATCAGTTCGTCATCGTCGTCTGTTGAGGTTTTTGGCGATCGCTTATCTTTGGGCCGGCTGTCAAAATACTTTTAGCGCGGCCTGTTCGTTACTAAGTTGCCTGCCTGCCGCTCTTAATGCGAAATCTATTAAGCCACGGACTGGCTTTCGGTCGCCTGCCTGCAACTCCAGATATATCTCCTTTGGCCGACTTGAAGTGCCCCGTCAATCATTTTTTATTGTGGCTCCAGACATAAACTCATTTCGCCTTGCAATGTGGAATGACGACGCAGCCGCCAACGCCCCGCCAGCGTTTTTTTTTTAGTGGGTGAAAAGGGGGTTAAGTGTGGGTCCGGGGCGGGGCCTAAAGAAAGAGTACAGCTGGCAAACTGATCGAAATCTGCCCACATCAGCAGCAGCAGCGACAGCAAAAACAACCTCATCGGTTAAAGCTATAGCTATATAGCAGCTGCTGCAGCAGCGCGAATAATTGGAAAAACGGCTATGGAAATAAACTAAAGTTTGCACTCGTTTCGCATTTCAATTTTTCTCGGCCAACGACGGCCACACACTTGAGTGCACTGTGAGAAATAATATAGTACTTTCTAGAGGTATCTTTTCTATTTAAAAGATATTCTTTACAGTCAGTTTAAGTCAGTAAACCTGAAAGCTATTTAATTTCAAATATAAAAACTCCTAAGACATCTTCGATTAAGATTAATTCCCATTTTTCCGAGTGCATTGTAGTGCAATCCGATGCAGAGATAAACAAAGAAAACAGAAAACCGGCGAACCCAAAACAAACAAACAATTTCCAAAGTGGAGAAACAGAGAAAAGCCACCATCAGCGATCACCGAATCGATAACCCGAATCGAAAGAACCGCCGAATGAAAACATTTTCATAAATGCCAAAGAAATCAAAGAGATACAGAGAGAGGAGGGGAAGGGGAAGGGGGGATAGCGTTAATTAAACGACAACGAACATAAACCAGCGTCTAGATTTCAATTTAGGAAAACAGGGAAAGCAGCTGCCAATGAAAAAACGGCTTAGAGAGGGGGACTGGGCTTTGCTCTGTGCATAATTAAGCAAATTAAACGCGCATTTTTATGCGTCACGAGGCAGCTAAAGGCTGGGGTAAGGAAAAACATAGATATGGTAGGGTTATATGGAAGGAGTAAAACTGGGGAGTCATGGCCTTTTCGCACAGGTATCGCATGTGGCAGCCACAACAGCAGCAGCGCCAGGCAGCCAGGCAATTTATGAATGCCAGGCTTTAGTAGCATCTACTATCTGAGTACCACACACACACTCCTCAACTCCTCCCTCTCACCACAGTCTAGTCGCGGCTTATGCAATAAAAATTATATTAAATTACCCAACAGACGCAGCGACAAGCTAAGACAAGACAAGCCAATCCTCCAAGATTCGATTCGATTTTATTGAATACTTACGAGCTCAACGAAAGTCGCGAAGCCGCAAGAAAGGTGCTTGGCTAGTCGAAGATGGAGATACTCTTTGGGAAAACATAATTGAAAAGGAAATATTTAAGACTGATTAAGTTCTTTATTTAAAAAATATTAACCTGTCAGATTTCTATCAGGTTTTTATCAGTTTCTTAATGGTTTCGGCTGTCTGTCATCAAAAACCTGAAAGCAGATACTATCTCTCACCTAGCTGTTCCCTGCTTAAACAAAAATGTTTAGTTTAAACAAGCAGCAGATTAAATAAACATAAAGCCAGAATTCTGTAGAGTATGACTTGCAAATTTCTCCTTTTTTTTATATCGAACCCCCTCATTGGTAAGCGAATACCCGCGATACCAATATCTCCCCAAAGGCCGGGAATCCCCCCGACGAACACAGAGAGAACTGCACCCAAACCCCACGATAATGATGGCCAGCATGGACCTTTCAGCTGCCGCTTAATGCCATCATTAGTCCACCGTGGGCTACCGGATATGGCTGATCGTTTGTCACTATAAAAACTGCAGCTGGCTGCAGTCAAGTCGTGGAGTTGAGATCTTTATCTGCATGCCTTTTACCTCCAATCCAACCCCCCCCGGTAATTGCAATCTAAATTAGTACACTTTTTATGCGGCTTAACGGAAACAGCCTTGAGAGGGGTGAACCGCATTTACATATATGTTTTATTGCTTAAACGAATGGATTTGGACTGGGACTAGACTAGTGATTAGTGATTAACCGGATACGCAGGAACTGCGAACGCCATAGATGGCATCATTGGCTTCGGGCAGTTTGCAAACTTTGCCCGAGGCAGGACGATTAAGACGTTGGGAGAGGACACTTAAATCAAGATTATTAACCCGCACCAATAGGGTGGGTTCCTTCTCAACGGAACGGCAAACCACGGTCTTCTGGCAATTGGCTGGAGTGCCGGACAATTGGGGTATATGCCTAAGCGGGGCATCAGGAAAAACGCCCATGACTTGGGGACCCACATCTACACCCACATTGGGGTTATTACAAGATAGACAGCACAAGCCCTTGTTTATGAATCCAGCAGCTCTTGGGCAGGCATCCTTTTCCTCAATCAGTCTCAAACGCCGATCAATATCATCGAAACGATCTCGTATGTACTTCTTCAAAGCCGGCATGTGCACCTTGTCCAACTTGCTGTCCAGCATATCCTGCAGCTCCTCCATGGTTCCCAGGAAAGTTATGTTGTACTCCTGGACAAGAGTCCTCAAGTTTTCGATCTCCACCACACATTGCTTGACTATCTCCAAACGCTTAAACAGTGCCTCGGTTTGCTTGAGGAAAGCCTGAAGTGTGATATAGAACTTTTCCAGCTTCCTGCTAACCTCCTCCATCTGGTCCAGGATGGGAGTGGCTATGCGTCGCATTAGTTTCTTCATAAAGTCCATGTTGGCCAGTAGGCTACAGGCGATCTTGTTCTCCTCGTCGCATACAGTGCAGAGATCCTCGCAAGGCGATGCATACTGTTCAGCCTGGTTGATCTTGAACTTGTGGTCCTTGGTCTTGTTGCAAATGCGAATCTGCTTGAAGTGGCAATCTAGCTTGCACTCCAGCTGCTTGACACGTTCCTCCAACTCCCCCACTTTGTCTAGTTTCTCGGAAATGGGTACAATTGCCTCCACATCGAAGGGTAGTGGAGAAATCTTGGACTGCTCAAGGATTCGCTCCATGCACTTGCCTTCGAAGCCACTGATTCTTACCATATCATTCTGGCAGTTAAGCTTCTTGAGCAGGACATTCAGCAGACTCTGGAGTACAGCCACGTTTACTTGGGTCAATTCGGGCACACCCAAGGCAATCCTGGTCACCTCTTCTAAAGTCAGATCAACGTGTACGGGCATTTTGGATTGCTTTTAATCGTTAAACTAATTTAAATTAAATCGTAATTTAAGAACGTTTCTTTCGAGTTAACTTGTATTCTAATCTGTGTTTCTCTGTCTTCGTTTCAGATGGTTCTGTCACTTTGACGATGACAACTATGTCAATGTGCCTAGGCTGGTTAAGCTGCTGGACGAGTATAGTCCCAGTGTGGATTGGTATCTGGGCAAGCCGAGCATCTCATCGCCGTTGGAGATCCACTTGGACAGCGTAAGTGCAAATGCCTGTTATTTCTGCATATTTTCCTATATAGTTCGTAATTACAAGCCTGGCCGCGATCGCCTTTCTCCATCTACTGGCCCGGCCCGGCCCGGGCCGACCCAAACCGAACCGTGGCCGTTATTTATGTGGCCACCATGGCCATTTGTCTATGCCGCCATTTGGCTTCCAGCTGCCAGCGCAAGCTATCATTAATAACCGATATGATCTGGCGCGGCACTAGCAATAGCAATAGCAAAAGCTACAACAGCAGCAGCAGCAGCAAAGGCAGCCTGAATCCGAGTCCCAGTTTGAGTCCGAATTTGAACCCGTTTTCCAGTCCAAGCCATTTGAAATATCGCCAGCTGATCCCGTAATGAATGTGCAGGCGGCCATAGTTTTAACAGCTTAGCCAGTTAGCCAGGGATGGGAGCCAAAAGAGAGAGAGAGAAGGACCAGGTAGATTGGACTTAAATCCATTCAAAAAGTGGCACACCAATCCCAACCCTGATCGCAGCAGCGTGCATAATTAAAAAACCCCAAACTTTACGCTTCATTTGCGAGAGGAGAAAGATCCTGTCAAGTCTCGGCTTACGCTTTGGCCAGACCCATGTATTAAGTTTCCAACTCGCACATGTCCATTTACATGGTCAATTAATCAAGCCACGTTTCGGGTTTAGCCTTTTTTTTTTATTTTTTGGTTAATTTCGAGTCAATTTTCTTTGGGCCATTGCCAAAAACCAGAAATGAGATCGAGAAGGAAAAAATTGGATATTTATTTGAGTTTATCCTTTGGTCCAGCCATCCTCTTTGCAAACCATTCATGAGCCAGTTCTTCCGTTAATCTTACCCCTTCTTTCTTTTTTCTCTTATTTCGACCTGCAGAAGAACACGACAACCAACAAGAAGATAACCTTCTGGTTCGCCACTGGCGGCGCTGGCTTCTGTCTTAGCCGGGCCCTGACTTTAAAAATGCTGCCCATAGCAGGTGGCGGCAAGTTTATCAGCATCGGCGACAAGATACGTTTTCCGGATGATGTCACAATGGGTTTTATTATAGGTAAGTTTTGGCCTTGTTATCCCAAAAAGACCTTCAACTTATACATAATTTTTTACAGAGCACCTTTTGAAAGTGCCTTTAACGGTGGTGGACAACTTCCACTCGCATTTGGAGCCCATGGAGTTCATACGCCAGGATACGTTCCAAGATCAAGTGTCCTTCAGTTATGCCCATATGAAGAATCAGTGGAACGTGATCAAGGTGGATGGCTTCGATCTCAAGGCCGATCCCAAGCGTTTCTATTCACTGCACTGCCAGCTCTTCCCCTACTTCAGCTTCTGCCCGCCCAGATGAACTGGCTGATCCCAAACAAACCAAGGTCCCAGGGGATCCCATTTGGCTGTTGCAGGCGCACGTCTGCGCTGGATCGGTTGTGAACCGATGGGGCAGGCGTCAAAAACAAATCTCGCCACTGTGATTTAAGCTTAAGTTTATGGTATACGACTAACGAAAGGTTCTTTGTATATAACTATATGTATTTTGAGCAGCTTCCAGCTGGACAGATGTGCTTCCTAATGGTATAAGTTATACTCTAGATATAAATCTTGCAATTCCAACACACTTCCAAGTGCTTCCCTATAGCGTTACAAGGATTCTTCCAATCGACTTAGTGCATAGTTAAATTAATGGTCTAGTCTATGTTTAAGTTATCTTAGCTTCAGAGAGACCACTTGACCCTCTGCTGTGTAATACTGTAATGCAGTCTAATATTGCCCTAAACTAGCAATATGCGTGTACATATATAGTAGTGCTATCTAACTAAGGAATGTTTAAACTATTTTGTTAATTTTTAGTTTGCTTGAATAAAAACTGAATATATTATTAAAAGTTTTGTGAAGTGATTTTTTGGGTGAATGCGAATCTAACCAGCGAAAGTATTTTCTTAACTTTTTTAACTTAAAATGTAAATAATTATGGGATAAGGTGGCATCTCTATTGAACGTTACCCATCGCAGATGTGGCTAGATGACTAGTCAGAAAGAATACCAGAGCGAAAAAATGAGTAGTTTTATTTGTGGAGTTGAAAGAGGAAAAACGACGAAATTAAACCGAACATTCAAAAAGGCTTAACCTGGATCAATAAAATGGTAAATTAACTGGCACACAATTGGCCTAGAATGGTCCTTAAATCCTCTTCAAATGAATAATGTTGGCCATTTGAAAATTGGGGAAAAAATAAATATTTTGCATGGCAGACAGCTTTTGGGAATGCAAATCTGGCTCGAGGGTCCTTGAACTTCGATGTTTTCGACTTGTTGGCCCATCGATGTTACTGCGGTTGGCCGGCTTATCGGTTTCGTGTCACCGAACATTCTGTCTACTTGTTGTTCAGCCAGCTTCCTGTTGCAGTGCGCATTTTGCATTTTTCTTTTTTTTTTTTTGTTGTTGCGAAAATTCGTTGTTAATTAACGCTAAAAGCCATGTTTAAGCCGCTAAAGCGTTAACTTTCAGGCGATATGGATCAGCGACGGTGCACCGTGCACCGCGTACCGCGACAGGACAGCGAGTAAGCCAGGGCCAGAAAGATAGACATTGACATGTCCACGTCGATGCCCGACGATGTCCATGTCCATGTCCTGAGCAGAGACAATGCTCTCCGTCCGATGGAGTTGAGGGTGCCAGTGCCTGGGCTCCTCTCACGATACGGCATCTCGGTTCCAATGACATGTTGCGAATTTTTATAAAAGACTCACTCGACGGTCGCTGTTTTTCCCCTTATCCCGGCTCTCGTGATATGTTAAACAGTTCTGGGCAATTATTTTTTTTTTTTTTTGCCTTTTAGCCGCTGATGCTGGCCCAGTGGCTGTATCCAGTTTTTAGTTGGCTTATATGCAGATAATCAGTTTTTAGTCCATGTCGGGGCTCAGTTTGGGGCGCGCTTTAATGAATGAAAGCTGCCTGGAAGGAGCCCCCGTCTGCCTGTCTGTCTGCCAGGAGAACAAGGAGCTGGATGCTGAAGCTGATGCTGATGCTGGAACTGAAACTGCAACTTTTGTGCCTTGTTCGTTTTAATTGCAAGTGAAATCCTTGTCAGCGCTGTCGGGTTGCCCGTCTGGCCGTCTGGAAGTCACAGCATCGATAATGAATTAATTATCATATATTAAAAGTCAGTTTGGAGCAGTTGCCCCCTGATAATCAGCTTTGCCCGGGCACGCCTTTGCATATTTTACGGATTTCAGAATTTAATGAACTTCAGTCTGGAAACTCTCAGACCCAAAATCTCCATCTCTCAATTTTTAGTTTCCAAGCACTACGCATATCTTTTGGTTTATGTTTTTTTTTTCTCCCTCGCGCGTCGGATTTTCATTCATCACTTCTAACCACAAATGAAAGATAAAGTCGTAACCGAAAATCCAGTGGCAATAACAAAGGCATCATCCAGTATTTTTCATTTCGACTTGGCGCCGCCCACGAATCAGAGCTAACAGCGGATGGGTTTCTTTTGTCCAAGACCATTTAATTTGCGGTTAGCTGCGGCCAAGTGATTCATTAGACACAAATTGTGGCGACTCCCCCGAATCTGTTTCCCATGCTCTCAATTTATGCAAAATCATAATTTTAATTGAATCTCTTGGCTTGGTTTCGGTGTTTTGGGCAAAGGATTTGGTTCCCTTTCGAACAGCAAGTGCTTAAGCAATAAGCCTTGTATTTTTAAGGGTCTTTTCCGGACTCATTTGTATGCAGAGCAGGCGACGGGGCGCAAATTACACGAGAAAATGTCCGAAACAAGCTGATCGGCGATAAGGAACGCAAAGTATCTCGTAGATGCGCAGGCCTCACTGCGTGCCCAGTGTATCTGAGCGATTGTTATCGTCGGCCAGCCCTGTCAACCTCGGGGTTTGCATTCAATTTTGGCCTGCCAGCGAAATGCCTTAGCCTCAGCCTCAGCCTCAGCCTTAGCATTCATTTCGTCTTTGGAATCTCTTGCGAGCCTCCATCGAACCGGTAGCAATAGCAACCTTTTTTGGCCGCGAAGGCAAGCAAATAATTTGTCCGTCTGTCGCAGCGTCCTCTTGGCCTGCCAGTCTTTCTGCCTGCCTGTCAGTCACTCAGCTAGTCCGCAAACTATAAATTAGTGCACCACCAGCAGCAGCAGCAGCAGGAGCTCCCGGAGAGATTTAGATGGAGATGGAGCTGGATGGAGTTCGGGTTTGGCATCCCAGCAACCCAAACACCCAAGTGTGCCAGCCTCTGAATTTATGTTGTCCATGCCAGCGATCGGGGAGTGGATGCCGAATGGAGTTCGCTATTCGAGCACCATCAGAAGAGGCAACGCCAGCAGTTCGGCATCAGCAACAGGTGAAACGAGCACCAGACTAGATCAACTGCCAGGCGGTGGAGAGTGCCAGAGTTGCAAGTACCCTTTAAATGGAGGGTATATGGGGCCAATATTATTATTATATTAATTATTTTCAAAATTTAACAATTTAAGATATGTCAGTTATGTTATTTTATGGCCATATCAACACCCTTCTCTCTAAACTCTCTAATAGATAGGGAAATGACATTCCGGGGTATCCTTAACTCATCATACCCACTCCACTGCGTGAAATATGCTTCCCTGTCTATAATTGGAAATGTGAGGCAGCGAAATGAACTGCTGTTGCTGTTGCCAACCCGCTCATAATTTAAAGCTGCCGTTGCAGTTTATGGCCCCAACTCGGCTAAATTATGTATAGCCGGGGCGGTTCTCGTCCACAGGCTTTCCACCTTGTTCGGGGAAAGGTAAAGGATTTTTGTTCGCGATCTTAGATAGCCAGCAGATAGTTGGAGAGCACAGCTGCAGGCTATTAGCGTTTGCC